ACCATTCAGTGCTGCAGATATCATTAACAATATTCGCAGGAATATTCAAGATTGTAGGGTTTATTATGGGAATAGTCTCTCCATTTTTTTATTGCAGATATATGATTCTCCAGAGTCAGACTTGAAGCTGAATGATGTTTTTGAGTTTAATGGGGTCTTCACTTTTGACTCAGAGCTTGCAGTTGAGAATGATGACAATAATGAGTTATCAAATAGTTTTTACGATGATGCACTGGTCCATATGCCCCCTAATAAGGTTTCATATACTTCCAGCTGTGAGGCATTTGTGGCTTTAATATCAGCACAGTTTGTTTTAGTCCTATTAATTCTTTAAATAATGGGTCAATTTAGCCTTCTTTTGCATCTTTTGAAATACAAGTTGCAGAAGCACTGGAAGCTTGGATATGGTATCTAGCTACTGTTTAATCATTACCGCACTCCATTGGATCAGATATGCAAAAGGTATGAATTGAAACTTGGGAGAATTGTATTGCACTTAGCAGTTCTCTAACTTATCAAAGTTCTGCAGAATCTTAACTAGTTAACAGACTTAATAGTATGCAATGAATCTTCCAAATTGTGTTCTTTTTGCTAGGTAGACAAGGTGTGAATTTGTCTGTTGTCGGCTTCACACCACATAAGATGTACAAGTATGGAGCAAATGGTGAAACTGATGATATGTTGGAATACCATGCTACTTTTGATTTTTCACAAGACTCCCCTTTAGTAGAACTTGATGATGATTTCTTGTGTACACGCCCGGATGGCGAGGGCATAGTAGTAGAACTTTATTATGCCGTGATATTTTGTATCGACATAAGATTACAATATTTTTGATAACTTAATGTGAATGCCTTGTATGCAAATGGATTGCTTATATATAATATGATATATATATTTAGTATTATGAGGCATTAAATGTGATTTAGTTTGATTATTTGTCAATCTACAATGTATATATATATATAATTTACGACATACAATCACGACACACGAATGTGTGTCATCTTTTCTAATGACGTGTGCTTCAATGACACGCAATGTAAGTCATAAATGCGTGTCATAAATTTATGACACACAAATGTGTGTCGTCTTCGTTTATGACGGGGGCTTCAATGACGAGCAATGAGTGTCATAAATGCGCGTTATAAATGCGTGTCATAAATGCGCTAAATTTATGACACACAAATGTGTGTCGTCTTCGTTTATGACGGGGGCTTCAATGACGCGCAATGAGTGTCATAAATGCGCGTCATAAATGCGCGTCATAAATGCGCGTCATAAATACGTGTCATAAATGCACGTCATAAATTCATGACGCACAATTGCGTGTCATCTGAGATTCATGTCGGCGGCTTCAACGACAGGCATTTGTGTGTCATCCGCACCCATAGATGACGCGCAATGCGTTTCATTAAAGGGATCTTTTCTAGTAGTGACAATATGTATTTTGTTGGGTCATCAGTGTTGGCATGTAGAAAAGTGTAATTTACGAATGCTCTGATCAAATTTGTAATGTTTTGAACTTAAGTATGTAAATATACCTTTTGTGATAATAAAAGTTTAAATATTGTATAGTTTTTATAAATGTACATGCTTTGAATGTGATACATCGGATTCGTATCCGGGTCGGATACGGATTGGGGGTGTTACATTACATGTTACATCCTTGTATCCATGTTCAAAAATGCATAAGACGGACACAAGATTTCATATTAAAGGGGGGAAATTTATAAAATTTTAAGGGATGAAAATAGACTTCTATTGTATGAAAAACTCCATTGTCGATGTTTCCAAAACTTTACCTCTAACTTGTTAAGTTGCTCATATGTATTTGCATAAACTACATTGCAGCTTCTATTTTGATATAGTTTAGCAATGAAGTTGGTGTGATCTTAGTTAATAGTAAAACAGTTGCTTTATATTTAGATTTGAACAGGTTGGGAAGGTGAGTGAGGCTCGTCCATATACAAGTGTGATCTATGATATATTATATGACTTCAAAATTTGGGAGAGACTACACATGAATGTCATTTAGGTCCATTCATGTATAATTTTTATGTCCTAGCGACATTTTTGTTCGAAAGAAAAATAATTTTTCCGTTTGATTCTCGAGAAAGTCGCAAATGAAGATTTTGACAGTATCTTTAATCATTTTCATGATTTTGATAAAAATATCTCGTAGATCCCTCATAATTTTAAATTTAACAAATTAATCTTTATTATAAAATATTTTATGGGTCTCATTTTAAAAAATAGTCCAACCTTGTACATCTTTTGGGACGGGCTGGTCGGGATATTTCCACCTCGCCAACGAGGCTAGACTGTATGTGTTGAAAAGGACACTGCAGGGCAAACCAACATTTATTCAGTAGAGGTTGGTATGTTTTAGATCTTTCAATTACATGCATAACTAATTCTTTGTGAATTTTAATATATAGGAACGGAGGTATTTGTGAATTTTAATCAAACTTATCAATGTCAGGTACAATGTTTCTCTTAACCAATTTAAGAAATGGATATAAATGAACAAGTTATCAGATGTATCTGTGAACTTCAAAGAATAACAACAATTCCCTTAACTATTAAGGTTATTTGATTCATACATTCCCTACAACTTAATTATGAGTATCTCTTAACTATTAACCTAAATTTTTAGGTAGGAGACGAGTGCTTCTAAATCCATCCCTGCATCCAGTGATAGATGCAATGTTCTTAGTTAACGCGAACAACTCATCCTAGCACCAGCTTATGAATTTTACTATATGTAAACAATAGTGATAGTTTTGTTTTTTTGGATTTGTTTGATTTTGATCATCTTAGTTTGGTAGTAAGAAATCCACTCAAATTATGTTTCTTATTTTCAGTTAACTTAAAATAGAATTGATTTTTTTTATCAAACTAAATTTTCTATTTTTCTTAATTCTCTTTTAGCTTTACCTATTTATCAATTTGAGTCAGATCGGATTCGAATCAAACTTTAATACTTATTGTTGAAGAAAAAATCTCCTTGAAGAGCATTGACTCCTGCCCTTGGAACATTTTGTGAGGTCGTAAACAAAGTGGAATAATAGATTGATAATTACATCAAAAGACAAAATAAATGGAAACCACCTTATCTTCCTGTGGGTGAAATAAGTAATAATATGTTGTAGGATACACTTTTGGACCTCTTTCATGCATGCATGTGGATTGGAAGTCAAATCTTGAACAAGGTTTATCTTAAAAGACACCAAACGTGAATGGATCGGTTAGACATATCATGTGCGTAAAATTTCAATAAAGTTAAATATTTAGATTAATATATGAGTAGTATTAATGATTAAAGGAAATATTATTTTTTATAGAAGTCATGAGTTCATACAACTACGTATGTAAATATGTATATTGTCAATGACTAAAAAAGATTTCTTAACAGACAAGGGCGAATGCGTGATTTTATGTTGGAGATACAAAATTATAAAATTTTAAGCATGAAAGAATTTAATTTTTTTTAGGAGAGGTGATAACATATTCTCAATAGAAAATATAAAGAAAATATCTAAAATATATATGAATTTAAAATTTGTAAGGGACGACTACCCCATTTGTCCCCTCTAAGTTAATATCTATTAACATATATTACATTGTAATCGGCCTAAGACTATTTATTTTAAATTAAATTATATTTTTAGAATTACAAAACTAATAAAATCTATTTGAATTTTAGTTTGGTTGGCATCTTATCTACTATTTGACCTTAAATGCAATTATTTTAACTTTGTTACTCACCTTGCTTAAAATACCATGGATGCGTCAAAGAAAAATAAATATGTTTATTATATAAATTAATATTTTTAATTTAGAAAATTCGTAAATTTGAAATGCCAATCAACACAGATATTAATTTAAAATATAAAATAAAATTTATATATTAGTTTATAAAGTTATCAAATTCAAATACCAATTTATATAGAGTAATATACCAAATAAATACTACATAATACTATTATAAAATAACCGCCTTCCGATAATATTTTAGTCACCGTCAAGAAATGTGTATTTTAGTCAAAAGTATATTATCAGATGGGGATAAAAACAAGGGTAAACTATATTATTTCCCACTAAACTGTATTTTTTTCCTATTTCATTTATTTGGTTTTCAATGTTTTCAATTTACTTATTGAACTTTGATATTATTCTTATTTTGGTCGTTCTAACTTATTTTTTAATATGATTTGATAATTTTATTATTATTATATTAATAAATATATATATTAAAATAAAAAATTATATTAAATTAAAAATCTAAAAATCATACCCAAAACCCCAAATCCAATTCTTTTTCCTCAAATCCTAAATCACCTTCCCCACACTTTTTGGTCATCCTCGTCCACAGTGGATCAATAACTAACGGTGGGTCAACAACGCAAAGGTCAATATCTGTAGTTATAAGGGTCATCTCTGCTATCCAAAAGCGGTCATTGGTGCTCCTAAATCCCGTTAAAGCCACTACATGTGAAGGATAAAGATCTATGAATTAGACATCTCCTATCATCGACCCAATCACCAATGGGTTAATCTTCTCGATTTTTAGTTTGAATTTAGGGACAAGGTGCATTAGAATTTCTTGAATTTAATGAATCTGATGTCGGTGGATGAAGGATGGCCAGAAAGGAAGGGGCAGGTTGGTGAGGTTGAGGCTGTTGAAGACGGGTGTTGAGGGTTTGTAATTTAGGGTTTATATATAATTTTTGGTTTTAGATATGATTTTAGATTTTTTAATTTAATTTAATATATTTTTTATTTTAATCAAAATTTATTAATAAAATAATAATAAAAAGTAATAAAAGTAGTTAGAGTGGCCAAAATAAGAAATATCAAAGTTAAATGAATAAATTAAAAAATTAAAAGTTAAATGAGTGAAAGAGAGAATAAAATTCTACGGAAAATGACGTATATTACCTACAAATAAAGAATGATTCGATTCATCAGAATGATAAGGCAATAAAGAACCAAAAAAAATAAAAGGATTCAAGATTTAAGGCACAGTGGTAGCAGACTAGCAGGTGCAGGCGATCAGATCAGAAAAAGGGTGAATTTTGTTGTTGTTGATTATTTGTAAAAGAAATTTTAAATAGATCTCAGAAATCACAGTTGAAGAAGAAGAAGAAGAAGAAGATCAATGGCGAAGGCGTTGGAAGGATTCAATTTCGAGCAGAGGCATGGAAAGGCAAGGGTGAGAGTGGCCAGAGTTTGGAGGAGCAAAGATGGACGCCATCATTTCATGGTGGAATGGAATGTTAACATCAGCTTGCTTTCCAATTGCGTTGCCGCCTATGTCAGCGACGACAACTCTGACATCGTCGCTACGGACACCATGAAAAATACTGTTAGTTTCGTTGTTGAAACTGCTCTTTTTCCTTTTTCTTTTCTAAATCAAGTTTAAGGTTAGGGCGTTGGTGTTTGTTGGCAGAAAGAGAAGTATTGAAACAAAATGATTTTGCAATTTATTTGTCGTCTTGGATGATTTCTGATGCCTTTTATTTGTTTAACGATCTAATCTAAGGATCATTCAAAAAGTATATAATTTTTGTTGAAAAATTAATTTGTGTTTTCCTTTTCATTTCAGGCTAAATTGTAAAGAAAATTTTGTTTCTACTGCGTGGATTTTCGTTATTACTTGTTTTAGCATGATTTCCTATTCAAAGTATTATAGTTCTCTATTATTCAGTTCCTGATATTTTTTTGTTGGCTCTTTTGACTTTTGACTATTTCTTTTCGAAGTCCTTCTTAACCTTCTGATTGGAAAGATAGAAAATTACAAGGAAAAAAATCTATAAATTTCCTTTTGATGGCATGCTTGGTAGGGAAGGTGAATAACAGAGAACAAAATAATTTTCTTTTTGATGTATTGCTTACTATGATTGAAAAATTAGAGAGTAATTTTTTTAAAAATAATAAATAATCTTGTAAATATAGATATTTGATCCATACCATTTGGTGTGGGAAATGATAATTTTTCATATTTTCTTTTCTCTCAGTTCTCTTTCTTGCAAGACACATCTAAATTCATTTTTCTTTCCATTGTCCCACCATAACATATCCATCCTGACACTTCTTCACTCAACCAAGCGCAACTTCTGACCTAGTTGTTATTGATCTCTAGGAGAACTTAGCTCAAATCTCTACTCGTTTTATTATAAAATAAATGGGTTATTTGTTTACAATTGAAGGAAATTATTTGAATATGGCTGTTGAGGTAGAAAAGTAAAAGTTGCACCATATAGAATGATTTGGATTCGGTCTAGAAATTAGCTTTGGTAGAAGGAAAAAATGATTATGCTAGTGTATCTTCATATAAAACTTAATCTTCAAATGATAATTTCTTAATTAAGCATTTATCATATATACGGTCATGTTGATTGAGGAATTCTTTTGTATAACAGTATTGTTGTTTCATCACCTGAGAGTAATTGTTAAAATTAATACAGGTTTATGTCAAAGCGAAGGAATGTTCAGAACAACTTTCACCAGAGAAATTTGCTATTCTACTGGGAGAGCACTTCACATCATTTTATCCGCAGGTAGTTTCTTGATGTTTAAGAATTTATTTTAATCTTGTGGAGGAAGTAGCCAGATGCTGGATGATTCCTTCTCTTCTTTGTATGAAGATAATTCTCTTTCCTTTTCCGTAGGTAACATATTCCCCACATTTGGAAAAAATCAGAGTAGCATAGTTCTTTTGCAAAGGCTAATGATAGATCATCCAATTTGGTGGCTCAGGAAATTAGAGGTTTAGGGATTTATAACAGACTTTATTTTTCTAAAAATATGCTTTATATATAATCCCCAATGGAATAGGCCTTACTGTATATATATCCCGATGGAATAGGCCTTACTGTATGAAATATATAAGATAAAATACATTAAAAAGCTTCATAGAAGTGTTAAGAACTCAATAAAATCTCGAAATATAAGTAAAGATGGATACAATGGGCAAAATATGCTATAGATAAAAGCAGGGTACAGCATCACTGCTAAAAGAATCCTCCTAAGTCCCTAAAGCTCAGTACTGTTGGCTTTGTGTTTATCATGAATAGCGCTAATTGCTTGCTAAAGTGAAACATGAATGTAGGAACTCAACATTCTCCATGTATAAGGGGATTAAAATATCGATTCAATAGTTCTATCTATCTGGATATACCTTAACAATGTTTTGGGTAAATCTATTTGAGTTGAGATTTGAGGTCTTCTCTATCCAGACCTTTTCCTACATCTACTAATATTGAGCAGGGAAAACAAACAATAAATTTGATTCACAAATGACTGAATAACTATTCATGTCAATAATCAATGAAAAAATGTTTGAGAACCTAAGGCTTGGGTGTACCACATTAAATATTCTGTAAACTGCTTTCCATTTGACTGATGCATATGTTATGCAGGTTTATACTGCAATAGTAAAGATAGTAGAAAAGCCATGGGAACGCATTTCAGTAAACAGTCAACCACATGATCATGGTTAGTCTTCCTAATTTTGGGCGACGTTACAATGTTTCTGCTGTTTGATGAATTTCTTCTGGGATCAACTTCCATAAATCGTTCTGCTTGGTCTAATTGAATTTTTTTTTTGTACCTTGTTCCTTGAAGGCTTTAAACTTGGATCTGAGAAGCATACTGCAGAAGCAATTGTACAGAAGTCCAGCGTTTTACAACTGACTTCTGGTATTGAAGGCCTATCTTTGCTGAAGACAACCCAGGTAACTTTGTTGGTCTTCATGTATTTCATATGGTACGTGGTTCTTATATTTTTAAATTTCCCTTTAAATGTTCAGGAAAAAGGGCATCTTCTTGTTGAAGTAATTATATTTCTTATCTAAAAATGTTCTTTCTCCAGGGAATATAAAATTGTTGCAATTCCATAGTTTTCATCTTAGCTGTTTGTTTTCGCTATACAAGCTGCTTACTGTTTTGACTTCCATGCTATGTAGAAATTACATTATCCCGCTTTTATTAAGATATAATTTTGAAATGTCGTTCCATAGTAAAAGAAATGAAATGAGCACCTCTAAATTTCAAGTGTAGTTCAGCGTTTTCAAATTTCAAATTCCCCCAGGCGTTTTTGAAATTTTTTCTCTCCTCCGACATACACCCGTTGTCCGCCGCCGTCATCAGCCACCCGCCGCAGCCGTCTGACGCCGCGCCGGACGTCACGTCCGGTGGCCGTTGTTCACCAAAACTTCCAGGTTTTTTCGACTCGACGCCAGCATCAAGGATCTAGGCTTCGTTTCACCATGGAGAGCCTACAACTCAGTGGATCTTGGACGTGGCCCTTCGACTTTTAGCTATTGGCGACGCTTCTTTCTTTTTCTCCGACGACGGCGCGAACTTCAACAGTTGTATAGTCATTATCTATACCTTCTCCATCTCCTTGCGTCTATCGTCTCTCCACAAAGCAATCAAGTCAGCCAAGTCATTATCTATACGTTTGCCGCTGATCTTTAGCTGCGTTTTAGTTCTGTTCATCACCCTTTCTTCCTTTGCTATTCTTCAACGATAAAGCAAAACAAAAGAAATGAGTTTCCGGAAACTTGAAGTGGGTCTTGCTACCCCTCACCATTACAAGTCCTCTCGGCAAAAGCCAAGGCTAGCTGCAGAACATGCTTCGGCTTCGCAGTCTGTGGAGGCGGGGATTTCCAAGATACGAACTGCTATTGTGGCATTTGATCGCCTTGTTAATTCCCTTGGTTCACTTAAAGACACTGCTGAATTACGTGACAAATTGCATAAGACAAGGCTTGATATTGAGCAGCTCGTTAAAGAGTCTTCAACTAAACTAAGGGAAGCAAGAGAAGCTGTGCAAGATGCAGAAACCTTAAAGAAATTTGTCGATGACAAGCTTGTAGCTGGGAGGGAGACAGCAGATTCATCTTCCGTTCCTAAAGAAGTTCGTCCATCAAGTTATGATGTCCATGTGTTGGAGGAAAAGGTGACCAAGAAACGTGAGGAAGAAGATGAGATGAGGGTTGAAGCAACAACTCTCGGGGCTAAGGTTGGCTGTCAGTCCAATAGTGGGGATAAAGAGGCTGGAAAAAGTTTGAAAATTCCAGATAAGAAGGTGAACCGAGTGGAGATTTTGGTGCCGAAGGCTACGGAATCGGAGCTTCATAAACAGAGAGTGGAGCAGCAGGCGCCGACTTGGAAGATAGTGGAGAAGGCCAAAGAGAAACAGTGTAGGACTGCGACGGGGGAAAATATGAGAGGATGCTGTTGGAGTCCACCTCAAAGGGGTGCAGTAATGATAAGACTGGATACTACACGTTATTTATTGATAATTTACCAGAGAACATTCACTGGAAGAGGTTTGGATATTTATTTTGCTCCCACAGTCGGGTTCTTGATGCTTTTATTCCAAATAAAAGAAATTCAAAAGGAGTTCGCTTTGGTTTCATTCGCTTCGCAACAATCGATGAAGCAAGAAGAGCGATCTCAAAAATGAATGGTTCTCATATCGACGGAAGCAAAATTGGTGTTTATTTTGCTAAATTCAAACCTCGACACTCTTATTAGAGAAAGTCATCGACAGTTGTTCATCGCAAGTCCGGGTTGGAAGGTGATTCGAGGAAGGATCTTTATAAAGTTGAAGGCGTTATAGATGAAGAAAAACTTCATGTGTTGAGCAATTGTCTAGTTGGGTGGTGCAAGGAGATTATCAAAATCGGTCATCTCGCTAAACAAATGCATGCGAAGGGCCTTACTGGCTTCTCCTTAATGAGAGCTGCTGGAAATGCGGTATTAATGGTTTTCGAAGACTTTGCTTCATTGAGAAGTGTGAAGATCGATAAATCAGAGACTCTCGCAAAATGGTTCTCCAGAGTTGAAGCTTGGTCAGAGAGTTTGGTAATGGAGTGTCGTCGAGTATGGTTAGTTTGCAAGGTTGTTCCTTTTCACACATGGAATTGGGATACTTTCAAGAACATTGCTGATAAGTGGGGTCATTTACTAGCTATCGACGAAAGTTGTCAGTCACCATCATCCTTTGATCGTGCAAAAATTCAAGTCCTCACAAAGGCTGAGGCGAGAATTGATGCAACGATGGAATTGAAGGTTGGTGACAACTCCTTCAAGATTATGGTGCATGAGATAGTGCCTTCATTCAAACCAAACCCTTGGGCTCCTGAAGAAGACAAATCTCATTAGATCTCGTCTCTCTATTTGAGGCTTTGATTTAGTTTATATGGTTGAAGGTGTTGCTTTTCTTTTGTATTATGTTCTTTTGCGCTGTTTTTGATCCATTGATGGAGGTGTATTTAGATTTAAGGTGATTTGACTTTTGGCTTTGGATGAGGATTTAAGAGTTTAAGGTGTTTGTTGTAATGGTGTATATCACCATAGGAGGATTTTCCGTGTTGTCTTTTGTATTGGGTATTATTATTAATAAAATATGAGGTACTCTTTTTTTCCTTCCAATGTTCGTTAACATACTTCTAAGTATGTGAACGAATACGAAGGGAGTTTTTAATGAGACCTCCAACTTCTATAAAAAAAAAAATCAATTGTAGCCGTTATTATTGACCTGTACTTAGCTATACCGAAACATTTATCTGCAACCGAGAATACACTCACACTTTTCTTCAAATTCTCAGATGGATCTTTTGGATTACATTGCAAATATGGGATCTCAAAATTTTCATCATTACAATGTGGACTGCTTGAAACTTTTCTTGCTTTTTCTTCTTAAACACATTCCTGGTCTTCATCTGCCTCATAGGAAGAGTTTGTTTTCGTACATCAATGATTTGTTTGGATCTTAATGAAATCTTCTGAATATAATGTTGTTTATTGCAATTTCAAAAAATATTGGCAAATACAAAGTCATGTCAACATGGAATAGGTTGCTTAAAATCTGATCTTATAACAATCCCCTCACGAGTGGTAAGGAAGAAAATCAAAGTTTTATACTAAGCTTTGTTATTTTCATAAGATGTTTCTTGTCAAGTAACGGAAGAAAAGGTTATTATGACCAGTATATTTTTGCCAAGTTACTATTTGTCGAAAACAAATCCATTTAAGAAATGCTGGAGATAGGTACGGGAGATAAGCCAATCTGATGCGGTTTAGAGAGGAAAGCAGGATTATGACTGAAAAACGATCAGGAAAGAAGATGGAACTGTAGAAAACTTAGGGTTATAAAAAACATCTAGTTTTTCTTTAATAATTCAAAGATAATAGTATGAAATTGTGGCTGTAAATCTATTACAGCATATTTATAATAGACATTCTTACAAAAAATAGTTATATTCTTAAACCTATATTTAACCCTCAGGAAAACTACTAATCTTAGCTGTCCAAAATTTATTTAATAATTAAACTAAATATTGTAAAATAAAACTAAAATAAAAAAATAAAAAATTATAAAATTATAAAATTAAGCTCATGCGTCAGAATCTTATCAAAAGGATACCTTTTCACTAGTTGTATTGCTAATTTGATGCAAATAAAGTCTCAGAAATAGCATTTGTCTTTTGTTTGATAAATGATTATAATATCTATTTTCTTATCTGTTTCCTCATTTATTCATCATATTTAACCTTTTAACCTTAATAAAGTTAGTGCTAATATTGCAAGAGGGTGCAATTTCTCAGGCTAAGCAATAACTAGTGAAGAGTCTTAACATGGTTAGTGCACATACTGCATGAGGGGGAAGTTTCTCATAATAGGATCTTCTAATTCATGGAATGATGTATTCCAAGGCCATAAATATGTCATGTGTCATTGAATGCTGATCATATCTGTAATTGGTTACGATTATTTCCCCCTTATCCTCTAGTGCTGCATAGAAGCACTAGTGATATGATATATATACATATATATATGCCCAGCATGTGCACCTTTTTGAAGCAATCATCAACTGCCTTTTTATAACACAATTGATGCATTGTGACATTGTGAGGTGTGGACGGTATAATGTTGTCTACTTAGTATAAGGAGAAATTTGAAGTTCCGCTCTCATTGCTGCGTCTGCAAAATTTTCTTTTTCCCGATTTTGGTAGTTGAGGACTCTTAAGATCTAATACTTGGTTCAGTGTTATTCGAACTGATTTTTGGTGTATGTGAATGTGAGCAGTCAGGATTTGAAGGGTTCATCAGGGACAAATACACGGCTCTTCCTGAAACGCGAGAAAGGATGCTGGCAACAGAGGTCACGGCTTCTTGGAGGTATAATTTATTTTCTACTTGATAATATTGAATGCTAAGTTAAAGAGGGCACATGGGGTAATTACTTGGCGACTATATGCTAGAGTAAAAAGTCTTTTCTCAAAGATAGCTTTTATCACTGACCTGCTGGCTTGATTCTTAGACCTTTTGTTCCATGGTGTCAACTTATTTGACCAAAATAAATGTGATTTGTGAATGCAGGTATTCGTATGAATCTGTCTCTAGCATCCCTCAAGAGCCGCTTTACTTCAATGACCATTACTTGAATGTGAAAAAGGTTTTGGTTGATACTTTCTTTGGTCCTCCAGTAGGTGGTGTATATAGCGTATCTGTTCAAAGCACTCTCCTCCAGATGGAAAAGGCTGTACTTGGCAGGTTCTCTCTCTCACTCTCATGTGCACACAATGTTTACTCTCTCTCTCACATCGTCACGTGTGAACCTGCGCATGCACATACATACTCTTAGAACTCTAATATTACACCACCGAACAACAGTAGTTTTGGATTTTACCTACTGTTGTTGGTTGAATTGATTTCATCTTTGTTTTAATGTTTTAAGGTTCACCGACATATCATCAGTTCAACTCAAAATGCCAAATATCCATTTCTTACCCGTTAATATATCAAGCAAGGATAATGGCAACATTGTGAAGGTATGACTCTGTCATTTGATATCTGCCAGATGGTAGTTATTGGAATGCAAGTAAACTGATCATCCAAACAGGCTGTGAAAAACTCAAATAGAAATTAATTCAATCGGCTAGAATGTTCAAATGGTGTCGAAGATTTCTCTTACGTTCATAGCCCTGTTTAGTTTACCTACTTTTGTTGTCCGCTTGCTGCTTTTGCATTAACCAGTGTTATAAAGTTTCTCTTTGGACTTTATATTTCGTTCGCATACTCCCAAAGCTCATTTGACCCATCTGCCTACAACTCGATTTGCTTCTATTGCTTCTAATAGTTCGAATTTCTTAATTTAGAGAGTGATTTCAATGAAAAAGTAGGGGATTCATAATTTTTGTGCTTTTGCTTTTCTTGAAACTTACATGGAAGGTGAAGCTATCAGCATTTGGAAGTGTCATTTTACGATCATCTAATGATGTTTGTGCAGTTCAATGACGATGTTTATCTTCCGACGGATGAACCCCACGGATCGATCGAAGCTAGCTTGAGCCGTTTCAGGTCAAAGATGTAGTAGCTGCAAGACAAATGTAGTATGGTGGAAGAGGTGAATGCATGCATGTTTTTTTCATTATCTAATAATACAATCAGAAGGATAATCTCCTGTGCATGTTTAAGAAGTAACGTTATTCAACATGTGAAATACTATAAACAGTTACAATGTTTTTTGTGTGGGTAAATAAAATAGTAAATATGAGCTTTAAGTTTTAATTACGTGATTTTATTTATTTATTTATTTATTTTAATTAATCTGGGGTAAGTATAAGGGGTAATATCTCTTCAAATATCACTCTCAACCATATGGCATTAAACGCTCACACTCTTGACATTTCTAGTGCTCGAACATGAGACTCAAAGAATAACAATTCATTTACCACTGACGTCACATTACTTTACCATTAAGTTCGCTTGGTTCCCTATACATGATTTTATTAGATCTCCACTTGCGTTCTCTCTGCCGACATTTCACTTTCGACTCTATCATGTGCTGGGAACAATTATTTTTTTTTATATTCACCTTGTTTGGGTTATTGGTTTTAGGGTTAGGTAAGCGGGGGAATCATCTTGTTTTGAAGAGTTTTTTCTTCTTCTAATCTTCAAGAAGCTTTTAAAGAATAAATTTGTACATATATATGGTAGTGACTAAATTGACAAGAATTTTAATTTGATAACCAAAATAAAACACCTCCAATAGTTTAGTGAATAACAGACTAGTTTATCTTTATGTTCAAGGTAAACTGCATCAAATATTACTAAATCTTAGATGATGTATTATTTATATCATTGGATTTTTAATTTCTCCAATTATAATATTGAGGTTTGATTTTAACTTCAATTATGTTAGTTGATTGCAAAAGTCTAAACAACACGATGACAGAGATAAAATGACATGTCTTCCTATAACTATTGATATCTAAAATGATATTGTTTAGGAACTGAATTTTAGGGTGTATCAATTTTATTATTAAATTTATGAATATTTTTATTTTTATTATTATATCTTTTTTTACAGTAGTTGGTAGTCAATTATCTTCCGACACTGATCATCTTTCATAGCAAGGTCGATAACAAAACATTAGCATACCTATTAAATTTTACTTTTAAAAGATTACGTGGTTGACCTATATCGTTCTAACTCTAATAATCATTTTGTCACATCTAGACTATACTCTAAATTAACTTTAGATGCTTAAAGAATTTTTTATTAAAAATAAATACATAATATTTGTCATGGCCATAAAATTCTAACTTATTTGACATGTGTTAAGCTTATAAAATTTAAAAAGTATTTTAAAATAAAAATTTATAATTTATTTTAAATAACCTTAAATTTCTTTAAAATCATAAAAAATTAAAACCTTAAAATCCTTAATTCCAAATCTCATTTTTAATCGTCATCGGTCATCTTCAATCACCTCATCATCGTCGAATGTCCACTCATTTGTCATTGTCCACCCACTAACCGATCATCTCCCTTATCGTTACCCTAAACTTTAAAATCATAAATCCTAAATTGAATCTTCAAATGCCCATTCATTTGTTACTTCCACCCACTAACCGATCATCTCCTTGTCATTACCCAAATCTCAAAATCATAAATCCTAAATTTAATCCTATCACATGAATAGCAACACGATGAATGCATTTATACTAGAAGTTAATCAACCGGGGGCTACGTTCACAATTGAAAAATGATTTGTGGATGGGGTGGGAAGGGGACGGAGGAGGGGAGGGAAATTGAAAAGGGAAAGGGGAGGAAGGGGGCGGGTAATTGCAGGGGAAGACGGGGGTTATTATTTAAAGACAAATGTTTTTTTAAATAACGTTGTATTTAAAAAATTAAAAAATTTGAAAGAAAATATAAATACAATACATGTAAAATAACGATTGAATTTAACGATCACGATAGATCAAACACTTAAAGTATAACGTCAGAGACGCTAGACAACTATTTTTAATAAAGAATTCTTTGAACACGTAAGTTAATTTAACATATAATTTAAACACTTGATTTTACGTTAAACCTAAAATAAACATCAACTATTTAAGTTGGATCCATTCCATTACGACCTTTTCCATATTATTAATCATAATCATAAATATGAGTAAATCATATTTATGGAAGATGATTAATGGTAATTAAGTTTGTATTGAACGAAAAACTAATGGAGGAATTTACCCCAACTATATTGGAGATAAGCTCCACATCCAAAATTCTAGAGCATTTATTTAGATGGTAGCAATCAATCCCATTATGCTCAACCACTGACATTTAAGAAAGAAAATCCAAAACTAAACACACTAGAAATGGTGATGTTTATATTAATGTAAGTAGGGAGTGAAAACTTCCAAAACTTTCTTGTAAACAGGTTTCTTGAAATCCACTGCCTGAAACAAAATTGAGAAATAAGAATCAACCATACAATTTGCATCTAATTAATTAAAAAATGGTACTAGTAAGTAGTGGAGTACTCACAAGCTCAACTATTTGCTCCAGTGTCATCCATGACCATTCACCAAACTCTGGTTTCTCAGTCCCATCACCCAGAAGATTGATTTCTTCTTCTTTTCCGGTGAATTTAAGGAGAAACCTGTTTGTTAATGGTAAATTTAAAGACAAGTCCACATAGCATGGAAAATCAAACAAACAGGGAAACAGAAATATAACAGAAAATCAACTAGCCGACATGTCACTTCTGGAACCAATGGTAGGATGCACACATTAAAAGAATAAACTTGGAAACCTGTCGGTAGATCTAAGTGCGATCCAAGCACTCACCACTTTTGAGCTTGACCTTTCCAGTCTGATCCCCACTGATGTTTCAGTTTTTCCCTCACTTCTGGTGGGAAGTCGTATGTCAGCCAAAAAGGCACCTGCATGGCAGAACAAATAAATGGACACACTCGAGGTAAGAAATAAGAAAGAAAAGCAGAAAGTAAATCTCAATAACATATGCAAGGCAATATATACGGATGGAGCACTAATGTAGTATAACTCGTTAACACAAGTACCACGCAATTATAATTTAACCGTAAACACGAGTTGGACTTCCTTGTATATGTGTTAAAAGGAGCTGAACACTGAAACACAGGAAGAAAAACAAATGCCGCCAAAATGTTATCTCAATATTTCAGTAATCAGTACCAACAAAAGCATATAAACCTTCAATTTTCTTTCAACTTATACATATTTAGAACTTTCAGTTGCCTGAATCTCCATATATAGAAAAAGTAATCTATACCAAATATTCCAGTCAGACACAGTATAATAAAAGAACTATAATCCTTTGTTTCTTAGGTAGAAAGCTCCGGCTGAGCTTTTCTCCATTGAATCATGAGCAAGAATCTAACCATAGAAAAGGCTGATTGCAGGTTATCTGGCCTATAAAATAACTCATTCCCCCACCCTCCCTTTTCTCAATAGCCTTTCTGTATTTTATGGTTTTAATATCACTAGGTAAGTCACACCTTAGCCTAGCATCATTAGGTTCCAACCACCAAAGAATGAGTGTAATGTAAAAAATGAGAAAATAGAATGATAGAAGGAGCAGCAACTCTTTCAACTGGTCATAACGTTAAATAACCAAAAAAGAAAAAAGTCATATTGATGGTTCAAAATGCTTTCCACCGTTTCATTTAAACAGTTCGCACTTCCTGGCAAAAGCCTTTCTCCATTTCACCCCAAACCAATTAGGACTTAGAGAAACGGTTTGCCAAACTTTGTGTATAAGAACATTCAGTGTTACTTAGCAATGATATTACCTAATCAAATGCCAAGTTGATCATGACCTTTGGATTATGAATGCAATGGACATTTCTCAGTTCTTCAATTTTGAATGAGTTTTCAAACATCAATTCTGGAAGTAACATTACAATATCATTATTGCACTAAAGATAAGATCCCGATTAGACATTTAGGTTCCAGAGCTTATTAGTCTAAAACACAGCTGGTGAAAATTTGTGGCTAAAGACTAATGATAAATCAAGTTGCTCACCCCATATCACTCACACTAATATAATAGGGCACAATTTTGATGCATCTAAACCGTGAAATCCAATCTAGACCCAAGAAGCTGTTAGAAATATATGATATTCAATCTATACTAGCATGCATAAAACTTTTGATTGTTCTTGCGATCACAAGTCAACTTCTGTAAACAAGTAATTTTTAATAAAAGAACATCCACTGGTAAAGGCATTTCAGTATTTTAGGTTTCCTTATTAGTAGTCTTTTGACCAACAACTTTTTAAAGTCTCATTTCTGCCCATTTTTCTCCAACCCAATAAACATTATATCAGCTATTCATGTCTTTTATATTTTTTGCAAAAATTGTAAATAATTTAAACATTTATCAAATGAAAAAGTTATTCATTCATTTCACCTGCATATGGTGTAGCTTCTCTGTCTTCTTTTTAATGCCTTGTAGTAATTTCCATGACTTCTACTTTTTATACGTTTCTGTCATTAGAATTTATGAAGGCTTAGAAGACTTAGAACTAGGGTAACGGAGTAGTGTTGCCTCTGTTTAAGTTTTAACTCATTTGACTTTATTCCTTCTTGTAGCTTGATATCGTTGACTTCTGTGTATCCTTCTCTTCACTTTTCCTCTTTTTAAATTTAGTCGGTCTTACGTTTCTGTATATATACAGAGATTTTTATGTAGGGATTTATTTGCAGGAATTACTTCCCATTACAGACGCGCATATGAAGGTTGCATATGAAGACTGTTCAACTATGTATTTATTTATTTATTTATACATGCATTGTATTTTATCTTTATTTTAATTTTCTGATTGCCGGAGGTCTTCCACGGAAGCTGCTCTCAACCTTGCGTTGGGGGCAGCCTACTACCCTACCTCCCCTTACCCCCATTACATATGGGAATAGGGTTTTGTTTTTGTTGTTGTTGTTGTTGTGTCTGTACTTATATTCTCAAATTCTTAACTCCTTCCTATAAGAAATGCAATTTTGAAGCACTTGTCCCCTGTCCCTAGAGTGTGTTTTAGCAGCCTCTTCCACTAGTAATGTTAGCAGGGTAAAAGAAAATAACAATGCAATTCTTAAAAAGGAAAAAAGGATGTCTTAAAACAAACCTCTGCAATAATTTCAGCTGAACTAACACCTGTTTCTTCTTTTAATTCTCTGAGGGCTGCAACTTTTGGATCTTCACTGTCATCGATCCCACCCTATACATCATAAATCTCATGAACTGCAAATTTGAGTAAATTCTTATATTCATAAAACAGCTCCTACTACAACAGAAGTTTCAAAGTATGGTTAACTGAAGCTCTTTGATCAAAAGTTTCAACTTCTAAAGTAGGGGAGCTCCGTACTTCAGGCAGCCGAGAATGTTGCTCAAAAGGATCAAAGATGAGGAAGAAGAAGGGGCTAATTCAAACAGATTTGAACGATCCCCAGATAAAAAAATAAGACAAAGGCAAGAGGAGAGAAAGCCTAGAGAATTCATTTTTGAACATGGGAAGGAAACACCCCATAATAATCACCAAGGCGACACATAAATCATAAATAAAATCTCAGAAAACTGATTATGGTTTCATATTTCATAACTCAAGTAAATGGAACAATAGTCATAAATCCAGAGCACTGTCAGTCACGGGTCCTCACGTAAAGGTCTATTAATGTCAATGAAATAAAATAAAGGCAAATCCCCTGCAAGATTTTATTATAGAACTTCCCCAAGTGTCTTTTCCATTGTTTTCCTTCCTAACTCACCAAAACAAGGTGAGGGGTTTCCCCTTCTCCATCTTTCCCTTCCCTCCACTCAATAAAAACAATTATTTTCTTAAATTAATAATAAAAAAACTGCTGCCATTGAAATAATTAAACCCGGATCAATTAACTAGTAATACTGCTAGAAAGACAAAACAACAACAACAACAACAACAAAGAAAAAAAATCAAAACAAAAGGGAACCTGAGGCATTTGCCAAGCATTGGGAATATCTAGTCTCGATGCAGAAAAAATCTACAAAAAATGAAAAAAAAATTAAATGAATAAATTCATCATATAATATAAAACCCAGAAAAGAAAAACAGGATTGAAAGTAGAAACAGAAAGTAATAAAGACCTTTTTGGATGAATTGATGAGACAAATGCCAACATTCCTTCTGTAACCTTGAGGAGGAGTTTCCATGGAGGACGATGTTGAAGAACAAGTGCAGGAGAAGAGAGTTAGAGGTTGAGGCTTCCGATGGTTGAGAAATGGAGATGAAGAAGAAGGGTATTGAGGGATGAAGGAAATGGGCTTGGAAGGGACACTAAAATGATGGAGAGGGAAACAAAGGGAAAAGGACCGCCATACTAAAGCCATTTCCCTATTATTTTCCTTTTAGCTTAGTTTCCAAAACAAAGACCCAACTATATTTGTTTCTTCGCTTCGTAGACCATGTTAACTTTTTAATATATGATAAAAGATAATTTTTGATTATGAGATATCGTGCGAATGTTTACACTTTTATCATTTATGATTCTTTAACTTGAGATTTAAAAATATAATAATAATTTATTTATTATTAAAATTATTTAATTCGTACAAATAGAATAAATTATTAAAACAATACCTTTTTTATATTTCTTTATTAAAATGACACCTAAAAAATTTTTATTTTAGAAAAATGACGTACAATTGTGTCACATAAGACCCATGTGTTTTCACGAAGATGCACTTTCATCATAGGGGTAATACAAGGGCAAGGACGTTGTATTATAACGTCTTGCTTTTAAAATTTTAGATTTCAGGTGTGATTTCAAAGCGTATTCTTTTTAAATTTTAATTTAATGTTTAGGATTAGAGTTTTATTATTTATTTTATAAAAAATTAATTTGTATGCCTAATTTTTTTCTTAACTAAAAAAATTGCTCAAATTATATGTTTTTTTTAAATTTTAATTGTTTAATTTTTGTCATATTTAAACTCTATTTTATAACTTTTAAAGTCAATTATGCTAGACTTATTTAAAAATTAATAAAATATGAGGGATAAGTTTGTTGATTATTTTTATTTTTATATTATTTTTAAGATTAATAATATATTTGATATTTATATTATACTGAATCCAATAATGTAATACAAATGATTTGTTTTTCTCAATTATGTATATAAAATATTATTTCGTTAATAGTTTTGTCCACTTTCATCATGGAAGATGGTATAACAACAATTAGCCACTTAAAAATTGATAAGTGATATTTTTCAAATATATATATTTTCATTTACTTAAGGTATAATAATAAGATTAATCATCAATGTTTCATTAATTTTAAATTTCTTCCTTAATCTTTAAATATATATAATTAAATATTTATTTTTTATAAAGTACACAAATTATTAGGTAAAATGCTAAAATATATTACTAACATTTGACAAAATAATACATTTTTAAGCACTTTAACCTCCAATGTTTTTATTTTAGGGTAAAATGTCCCCTGATTGAATGAAAATTATTAGTTAATTAACAACCAACGCTTGTCGTTGATATAACAATGTATCACATCATCAATTATGTAAATATGTTACGGTCACATCAATACTTTTAGACGAGTAACATGTGACACAACATCACTTTGGACACGAGACATGTGTCACGTTATTACTTTAGACACGTGGAATATATAACATCATTATTTTATATGCACAATATATGTCATATCGTCACTTTGAACATGTAACATATGTCACATCATCAATTTGGACACATTACACATGATATATCATCACTTGGAACATGTGGCATGTGTTACGTCAGCACTTTAAACTCATGGTATGTGTTACATCATCATTTTAGATATTTGTCATGTCATCACTTTGGACACGTTACATATGTCATATCATCACTTATGTAAATGTAGAACGTGTTACGTCTTCACTCTGGACACGTGACACATCATCACATTTGACTCAGAGCATGTGCCACACAGACTCACGTCAACACTTTGGACATAATTGACTTTCCACGTCAACGTTAAGCATTAAATTGTTTCGATCCAATCGCAATTCCCAATTTTCGTTCAACCTACCTTTTTTCAAGACCCAAACCTCTTTTGGATAAGAAATAAAAGCAGATTTTGAAGCCTAGAATGTCACACCCCAAATTAGGTCCTAAAATTTTCTTAAAATTTTTCCAAGGACTAAATTGAAATTTTAACTAAATTTAGGGAGCAAGGTTAAATTTTGATTAAAATCATATCCAAATTCAAGAAGTATAAAAAATTGGAGGACCTATGGCCTAATTTTACCATTTTTCATAAGCGTGGGTTTAAAAGCCCTAAAAACCAGAAACTTTCCATTTCTAGAAAGTTTAACCCCTTTTTTCTCTCTTCAACATTTTCTCTTTTAGTATGAAATCTTCAATCGACATTTTGTCAACGACCGTTACTCCGTTTTTGACACCTCTCGTACCATCGTGTTTTTTGCATCGTCCCGATTCCACCGGTGTCCACCTTGTCTTCGTTATCGTCAGCGTGTGAGGGGGTGAGGAAGATCAAGTTTTTGATGTTTCAAAATTTAGCTCTCCGCCATTCACCGTTGTGAACAGAGCTTGGTAAGTGTCTCAAAATCCCTTAAAAAGCATGTATATTTTTTTCTCAAATTTTTTAACCTTTAAAGGCCTCGCACACGCCGCCAATGCGCGTGGAGAAGTCCCACCGCCTGGTGGTTTGTTTGAATTTGGGTCGACCCAACCCGACCTGGTCCAACCTGAACCAAATCGGCCAGTCGTTGACCATTGATCGTTAATTGATCGTTGATTGTTGATCAACCATTAACCGTTGACTGACCATTGACAATTGATCGTTGACCGACGTTGACTTTTCTCAAAACCCTACATCTTGAAATTTTTCAACGTCCTGAGTCTGATTTCATGATCCGTTTTCCAAATTCTGACATGAAAGCCCTAAATCGAGTCTGTTAATTAAAAATACTTAGTATTTTTAGCATTTTTGCTTATTTATTTGAGGTTGGAATATGTAATTGATTCGAGATTATATTTTTATGAAGGTAATCGTGTTTTACTCTATCAAGATTCAGTTAGATCCGATGTTTCCCGTCCTTTATATCCACACGATTCACGTTTTTCGAGAGTTACTCATAGGTTTCTGTAAATTGCTTAGATAGAGGTTATTATTATTCATATTAGGATTTTGATATAGATTTTCTGATTCGTAGGATCTAGCGTTGTCGTTGACCGTGATCAACAGACTTAGTAGTAAGATTCCCTATCAGACTACTCATATCGATACATGTATCTTTCCTGATGGTGTTACATTGTAACATCCTAAATTACGGGTTAGTGATTAAATTATAAAATTTTAGAATTTGGTGATTAAAGTAGAATAGTTGAATAGTTCAATGATTTATTTGGGAATATTTCCGAAAAGTTGTTAGTAATTATTCAAGGAATTAAAGGGAAAAATGGTCAATTGACAAGGAAAGATATTTTTATCCCCTTTAATAGGAGAAAAAAACGTGGGGAGATGAAAACATTTCATCTTCTTCTTCTTTTCTTCTTCTCCAACCGTGGAAGCTAGACAAAGGTGAGTTTTCTATTTTGTTAATTATTTGTTGAATGAAAGGTTGGATTTTGATCATTAGATGATAACTAAGCTTAAGGAAAACTTAAGTTATCTTAAAATCAAAAGATAAAGGAGTTAGAGAAGATTAAAGATTTGGAGTTTTTGAGTGAAATCTTGAAATAGAGTTGATAAGTTGAATTTGAAGTTAAATTCGACTTTTCATCAGCTTAATTAAGAGATATGAAGTGATAGAATTAAAATTAGAACATGTTAAAAATTTGGTATGATTCTTAATTTTAAGAATCATAATGAGATATGAAAGATAAAGATGGTTTAAATGGATATAAATTAGTTTAAGTATGTATATTTGAGTTAAGAATATAAAAATGAATGAAACATGAAGAATTGAAGTGGAAATAGTGAATTTTCGTGCAATGAACAGTGATTTCTGGGCTTGAACGAAAATTCCAGATTGTGCTAAAGAAAAAAAATGGAATCTTGGTTCATTAAACCGACTTAAGTTATTAACATCAAGTTTAAGGTTTAGGCTTCTGATAATTGTTCTGAAATGTTATATTTATGTAGATATTGAGTCTAAACAAGTTTCGAAACAATCAAATAATTAGGATCGAATCAAAGCAAGGCTAAGGTGAGTGCAATTTAATTGTACGTATATTATTAAACATACATTGGCTTGCGATGAGCCAGTGACATAGTTATTATGGTAAGAAGTGGCAGAGTTACTATGGTAAGAAGTGACTCCTAAAATGTTATATAGTTGATGGAATTCTTATATGTGCATAAGTATATGAAAATATGTATATGTTATTATATGTGATTATAAGAGCAATAAAACGAATACATGCATATGTCTATAGAGTAAGTGCATTTCTACATGTGATTTATGTGAATACATGTATGTTCGAATATGTTTGGTATGATTACATGATCATAAGATATAAACAATGTGATAAGTGATATGTGAATATATGAAATTATGAGACAAGTGATTAAGTGCTTAAGAAATATAAGCAATGAGATAGGTGACATGTGAATCAAATGGAAATGATTTATGCATAAGTTTATATGTTATTCTATGTTCTATGTGATGTATATATTGAAAATATTTGACATATGTGCTTATATAAAAACATGAGAAATGATATAAGTCATATGAAACTATCTACGTGGATACATGCACTTGTGATACATGTGATATGATATAAGATATACGGTTATACATACATGTGGTATATGACAGAAGAGAAAGAACAAGTGATATGAATATGTGAAATGATAAATAATAATGCCCATGTTATATAATACGAGAGCTATAGGTATAGTTGGCATACCGGGAGTCAAGGGTCTACGCGGTCCTACGGGACATATATGTAATTCCATGGAACATGTATGTGGTACTTCTGTACACTTATTTGGTCCATTGTATTATGTATATGGTTCTTAAGGAGTGGTCTTTCGGGACAAATGTGATATGTGGTCATTCGGGACATAGTGGTCATTCGAGACATTTCTACGCGGTCCTTCGGGACAAATATTCAGTGCCCCTAGTGGGAATTTATACGAGCTGTGGTGACAACATTAATGCACAACTTCAATGTACTCACATACCTTCAATTCTCAACAGTGTACATGGGCTAATAAAGGGATTTAATAAGTATATTGAATATGATATGTATATGTAGTTTGTTATATGGAATAGATCACAAGATTTATGTAATGGTGTATTGCTTGGTTAATACATGATATGTTATGTATAAGATTGTTAAATTATAAGGATTAATGATAATGAATGTGAAATGTTAAACATGTTGATA